CAGTTATACTGCACTGGATCCGGCGCCGTTGCCCACCTGGAGGCGTCGAAGAGGAGGTCAACTGAAGACCCGGCTTGACACAGTTTGTCAAGACATGTAAGCGATGTTCGGAGCTTCGGTATTCGGTCTCCGTCGCCAAGGAAGCGAATGGGTGGAGCTTTCTACATCTGCCGCCACAAATCGTCACGCGTAGGGGTAAAATCTGTGACATTATCGAGAACGTCTAGGTCAGGCGTGATTACAACCGTACCAAGTACAAGTACTGGTTAGTTAGAACATGGCTTGGTTCGACTCAGGCAGTATCCCAGGCTCACCTATTGTTTGACGGTCTGTCTCCCACAAATTAATTAACATAAACATTAAAAATCGGAGAACGCTTATATATAAACCGAAAGGCAGGCATCCCAAGAAATGTAATTTCATGGAAAGGATGCTTTTCCATGAAGCTTATATATAACCCCTGCCAGGTGATTAATCAACGGTGTGACGAACACGGTCGTTCCAAAATTAAGACAGAGGCTAAAAATAGGAAAAGCCAGCAGAAGGAAGTTAAATCCTACCAACCAATCCAACCAAAATATAAAGGGAAAGGCGTAGTATCAACAGGCCTAAGACTTGTGTTCATGGGAACTGGAACTGTGGCATGTCATCCGCACATTAAAATCATTTATGCAAATCGAGATTGGCCTGTTTAGCAATGGGGCCGATCGTAAAGAGACAACTTACCAACACCCAACCTCCTGTAAGCTGCCGTAACGCCCAAACTCAGAATATAGGCGACCATAGAGTTGGTAGAAAGACTGTAATGTAAAATCGAACGGTCCTAGGATCATTAGAGGACACAGGTGTATGCGATGCTTACAGAGACTTTGCAGTTATTCAGGGTCCTATACTCCACAACAATCATTCCAATTACCATGTCCTGGTGGGTAGCCAGTATGGTAAGGTAGTTTGTGTTTGTCACCAGCTCCACGAACCACGGCTCGGGGTATCTAGGCGGAGCAAAAGGGGAATTAGTGGAAAAACGGAAGTACTTGACGGGAAAGCACTCCCCGCAGAGTAATTTGATGGCTTGCAAGTCGTCATTACGTGCCAGTCGAACGTCTACCGAGCCCGTGAATGACGTCATTCCGGTTGAAAGGGCTGGCGATAGCTAGTAGTAAGCAGAAAAAAGGAAAAAAATAACCTGTTGAATAAGATCAATGTGGTGGATGTCAAACGGGGAAAGGTCAAGTAAAAATAACAAAACAAGACGGAAGTTTCTAAAATTCTAACGACAAATACGGGGAGATAATGACGGTAAGGTCCGATTTTGAAAGCCAGACTGAGACACATTCGTAAATCCCGTTATGGGTATCAGCAACAGACTTTGATGCTGCATTTGATTCCACCCCCTGTGGGTCCCTTTAGTATATTGTGAAATGAGATAGTATGCCGACTGAATTTATCGCCATGAGCGAGGCCTGTTATCACTACACCAATGCGCGAGTTCTGGTTCAAAAAATCGGTTCGGCATCTGATCTGACGTTCAGCAGTGTTTCATCCTGTAGTCCATTCTGTTTGCTACACCACTGACCGGGTTCTTTGAAGGGCTCTAGAAGGTTCTGATGAGGCTGGATTTGCACCCGGATGCCCGCTGATTGATCATGACTACGTTGACGAAATCGCCTTGATAGTCTCAAGTGTTGGTGATGTACAGTTTTTAGGTTCACGGGTTAATAAAGCCTCTGGGATAACCAACGTGGTTTCAAGCTGTATCTCTGACCAGTAGAATGAACCTTGCGAGATCAATAGTGGCCCATTTGAAGAAGTAGACAGTTTCAAATAGCTAGGGACGAGATTTTCGTCAAATTCATAGGATAAGTACGACATTTATTTTGAAGTCAATGCTGCACGTAGGGTTTTCACCATCTTTATAAAGAGTATATGGACGGGACGCCGCATGTCTACCATCGTGAAGATCGGCGTCTACCGCACATGAACCTTTGTTATTCAGTATCCGTTGACTAAAGAGATAAAATATGTAGCTATCCAGATCCACTGCTGAGAATCGCAATGGACCAAGAAATGCAATCTGCGACATCGGATATGTTCATTACTGTAACAAGTATGAGTAAGTGCCAGTACCTTTTTGCTGTAGGCCGCTATATCCCAACCTAGGAAAGAGGAACTTGAAAGTTGAACCTTCGTTTATTTATTCAATGAGTTTGAGGTTCTAGTAGACGAATAGACGGACGAAGTTAGACGGTCTGTGACTGAGGATGGAGATGATGCTAACTGATTTGGTCTGACCAGGAATACGCCAGATATGCCCACCTCAGATGCCGTCGACTTCTTTACTCAGCGCGGGTTGACGACCGCGGCGTCCAAGTCGTCCGTCATTGCTTTCACGCTGGACCCGAAGGAATTCAATCGTCACCCGGCTATCATCGTC